TGAGGCCTTTCATGGTCTCGTTCCTACAACCCATTTAGACACACAAAGCCTTCCTCCCACTCAGTTTACTCTTAATTGTGTGCCTTTGCACACTCTCTTCCTTTTTGGAATGCTCCCCAAGCCCATCCACCTAGCCAGTTCCTAATTAACCTTCCCATTTTCAGCTTAGGCGTTAGCTGCTCTGTTAGACTCTGCCTGGCTCCCTTCTCATTGCTCGTGTGCACATTGTTTGCCAGCAGGTACCAACACCATGTGCTTTAAATACTTGTTTGCATCTTTGTCTCATTTCTAACATGAGCTTCCTGACACTCCATAGATATTCAGGACCTTCACTGGTTGACTCCAGCATTTCAGGAAGTCCCATAGCCACTCAGGTAATATCTTGATAGAGGTTTTCATGGCTCTTCCCATAATGCTCCAGTTTGTGCTTGTGTGGAGAGCAAGTCACCACAGTTAGCACCAGCAGCCTTGTATGCTGGCATCAGTTGGCTCTGTCTCTTCATTGCTTGTGTTTTCTCAGTGAAGCTGGAATAACAATACTTACTTTATCCATGGTATGAAGTTGTGAGTCAAATGAGGTAATGTGGGTGAATATGCTGTGAAAACTCTCTAGCATCATATGGTTTCATTAGCTTTATTTCAGAGTGAGAAACTTGCTTGGGCTGGGGATTCTGTGAAGACGGGAATTCATCGGTGCTCCTGGAGGTGGTCCCTCCTGAGCCTAGGCCCTGGCAGGAGCTGATTGTGGGGTCCTAGAATAAGCATCAGCACTCAGCATGTCTGGCAAGCTTGCAGCATAGCAAATGATTATCCACAATGTGTGTTACCTTGCTTTTGTGAGAGGACTCTTGTTGTTCCTACATTTCACTAGGGAGAGGGACCCATAAGTTTTCCTAGTTGATTGATTTTGAGAGATCTAAAAGGGACATATTTTCATTTATTAATATATATTGCAGTTTTCATTGAGTGCTCTTTGGAAATTATAAATTTCTGTGGCCCTTCATTCAGAGATGGAACAAGCTTGGATTTGTCAGAGTTTGTAAATCTTTTTACCACCACCACTATCTTAATTCAGGTTCTAATTGTGTCTCACCCAGACTCTAACCCCACCTTTCTAAGGTCTCTGCTACCGTTGTCTCTCCACTCCTGAGTGCTACCAAATTTATAACCCTGAAATACAAATGTGATACATAACATTTGAGAGAAAAATTTCTCTGGCTTTTTAAATTCTTTATAGGATAGTGTTCAAGCTTGTCAATTTCATTGTTTAGACCTGTATGTTAGAAAGTATGTTCTGCTGAGAATATCATTAAATCCTAAAATATCAACGACTTAAACAGAAAAGTTTATTTCTGTCTCATGTTAAGGAAGACTAGGGGTGGGCAGGCCAGGGCTTGTAGGAGAGCTCCACAGTCTTCAGCTCATTCTGTTGTGCTGCTCTGCATAGTGGTTAACTGGGTGCTGGAGGTCCAGCTCTCACATCCACATTCCGGCCAGCAGGAAGAAGGAAAGAGAGAAGGCTTTGCCTCTGCCCATTAAGGATACTTTTTGGAAGTCACTAACAGCACTTTCCCCTGCATCTTATTGGCTAAAACTCAGATGTGCAGGTCATGCATAGTTGCAAGGAGGCTGAGGGATGTGGTCTTTTAACTGGGCTGCAGTATGCCCAGCTAAAAGTTGGGGTTTTTATTAGTAGGAAAGAAGAGATTAGATTATTGGGCAATAACTAGAATCTCTGCCATAGGGCCTATATCACCACTCCACAAGCCTTGTTTCTTCACCATTCCAGTCTCTTCCCACCTGGCACTGTGTCCTCAACCTGTTAGTAGCAACAATAAATCACTTACTAGACCTTTACTATATAGAGCTCTTTCATGGCTCTGGGCATTTAGCAAGTTCTGACCTTTGCCTGCAATGACCTTCAACTTTCTTATTTCTCTTTGAAACATCTATATATACATCCTTCAAGCCCCAAGTCACTTCTTCAGTGAATTTTTCTTACTTCCTTAGCAGTATGCACGTAGCAGAGTGGAGCAGCGGAAGAGCTTCATAGTTGAATAGACTTGGGTTTGAATCTACTTTCTCTGGCTTGGGCTGGAAAGTATAAATGTGGAAGTTCTCAGCCTATAAATTGTATTTAAAGCCACAGCTCAGGTCTCTCTTTTGAGTTCCAGACCTTCATGTTGGACTGCTTGCTTGATGTCATCACTTCAAGGTCTCACAGGTGGCTTCTCAAATATAACCACCTCTGAAATAGAACTCTTGATTTTCACCTCCTCCTCTAGTCCTTACTGTGCTAGTAAATGATGCCTCTATCAACCTAGCTACAGATATCAGAAAGCTGGATATAATCCTTCACTTCTCATATTTACTAAGCCTTATATCTAATTATCACCAAAGCCTATCAGTTCAACTCCAAAATGTGCCTTAATTTTGTCTCCTGTGCTTGCATCACAGCTCTATCCTCTCATACCTAGACTGCTGCAACAGCTCTTAACTGGTCTCCCTACATGAGCTCTTAGCCTGCTGTGATCTTGCCACAGGTAGTGCTTCTCTGTACAAAATCTGTAGCCAACTTCCCATTGTATTTAGGCCTAAAGTCTGAATTCTTATATCCTGCAAGGCCCCACCTGATTTGACCTCCTTCTACCTCTCATTGTCATCCCTTGCCGTGCCCATTCTTGCTTATTGTGCTCCAGCCTCATAGTCCTCTTTCTGGTCCTTGATTGTGTGAAGAACTTCCTGCCTCTGTCCCTTACCATGTGTCATTCCCTACCCCGGGTCTTTTGTCCCCCCTTCACTCCTGCACACATCATCTTCATGTCTCAACTCAAATGTCACTTCCTCACAAGGCTTTTCCTTGACCTTTAATCTAAATCATATATTCTTTTCCTCTTCTCCTCGGGACTGTTTGTTCCTTCTTAGCATTTATCACAATTCATAATTTTATATTTATAGGGTGATTATTTATATATCATCATTCCCACATTAGCCTATATATTCCATAAGGGCTGGAATCATGCTTCTTTTACGTACCACTAAATCCTCAATGCCAAGTATTCAGTAAATACACATGGAATAAATGAATAAATGATCTTGTGATTAAATAATGCAGTACCTTCTCTCACTAAATTGACAACTTTGCTATTTAGTGTGGCAAGACACAATTGTTGGAAACCTATTAAAGTGATTCACCTTTCCAACCTGGCATTGTGTTTCTTTACATTCATTAACCATATATATGATTCTCACCTCCAAGGCAATAAACTTCGGTTTAATTTATTAGGATGTAACTTTGTTTGAACAAAGCCTCATTTCTGCCAGGATATCCATATGAATATAGAACCTGAGAAGGTCATGTTCAGGTGTGATATTTGAAAATCATGATTGGGCCCACTTCCCTGGCTTGTGCTCTGTCTTTGATTTTAGCCTGTTATAACATTTGTAACAGAAGACTTGCTATTTTGGGGATGGAATCTGAAGTAACAGTCATTTTAAGATGGAGCCATCAATGACCATCACAGAAAGCTGCCTGCCCAGGATTTGAGCTGTCTCAGAAAAACCAGTCTGCTCACTATCCTGTCTTGATTGTCAGCTTTTGAGACCAAAAACTCAGATGTCAGGTATCTAAGTAGAGTGTATTCATTCATGGTAATTCCAGCCTCCTATTCTTTCCTTATACCTTGTTCGGCAGAACACATTGGCAAGGTATGTTACAGGTCAAACAAATCAACAACTTGTATGATTTTTTTTCTCCCCCAAATTATAAAAAGTGTTGTTCTGGAAGCATCTGATGATTTTGGAATCCTGAACTTTGGTCCTAAAATAAAAGATGAACTTGTATGACGTCCCTCTTTTACTGATAGACAGGGTGTCTACAATGGGAAAGTTTGTTTTTGCTTTTTCTTTTTGGAAAACGGTGAAGATTTCTTTCAGTGGGCATTTTGATAGGTAGATTTCAGCACAGAAAGAAAAGCAAATAATTGATCATTCTCAAGCTTTGCTAGGTCAGATCAGGTCAGTGTTTCCAGAGTACACCCAGAATGGTAAAAGTTGGCTTTAAGCTGAGCCTTTGATAAGAAGGAGCCAGTCCTGAAAAGGATTTATTTAGTTTGGCCATCGTAATGTATAAATGACGATAAGTACAAGTCTCTCTTAACTGTCTGGAGTGTTAAGTGTTAACCGCATGAATTGGTTGTGACTCCTAGAATCCATAATTTCCAATATAGTTATAAGAATATTTTGGGGGGGGGGAAATCTATTGTAACAAGTAAAAATATATAATTTTAAATGTTCAGAAGTGTGCAATTTTCTGTTTTTATTCTTAAGTATTTTTAATACTTCTGGTACAGAGCCTAACTGCCTCTTTCCTGGGGAGATGTGGTTTCAGTGTCTTGGTGAATATGCAATTTGTAAGTTTTTTAAGAAAGAAAATTATACATTAAGAGACTTTAAGTACTTTATTCTTTATATAGTGTCACTAAAAAACCAAAGGAAATCAGGGTTGGGTTATTTATTTATTTATTTAATAAATATAATCTATTTTCTACCATTTTGTTTGTTATGGCTGATACCAAAGTACTTTTAAAAGTTAACATTTATTTTGATTTTGTTTTATTTTAGCAGATGTGCATAATAAATTAACCCATCTCTATTCTTCATTGTGGACTGGGACAGTATTTAACATCTAGTTTTTGGCACACAGGTGATTTAGTTTAATTCACCATAGTTTGATGCTCTTCAATTGTATGATGTGTAGCATGTGAATAATGCTAAATAGATAAAATGTCCTGCCAAGCCTAAGTGCTTAGCGTGAGCATTAATACAGGTATGTGACATGATTGGCCTTAGCCAAGTCACCTAACCACTGTGGGCTTGGGGTTCCTCTTCTGTAAAGTGAGTAGTTTGGGGCAAATGGTATCTAAGAATCCTTCTAGATCTGAATGAAGAAATCCCATGAGTTGATATGCATCTACTTGTTTCCTCTCTTTTTAATTTAGGAAAAGAGGATGCTCGTGCACCACTTATAAAAGATGAGAGTACCTCCACATCACAAGACACAGGAGCTTTACCCGAGAAGTCCCTGCAAAGATCAGCAAAGGTCATTACCTACAGATTTTCTTCACTTGTCCAAATGGCTGTCACCTCAGTTACTTGTCGAAGGCCTCTTGTGTGATTCAGTCAGGACTACAGTTGGTCATTTAATCAGAGAAGTCAGTGGAAGCAGGGATTCCTAAAAATGAAATTTTTTTATAACTTTAAACTTATATATTCATTTGCCTGTCTTTGGATAAAGGGCCAAGTTCTTTTCTTTGAGTGTGGGTATATTGATTGGAGTTCTGTGTTATCTTTTTGCTTAAATCACACTTGTAATGCAGCGCTTATGACTTCCAGTTTTGGTTATTTAAAGTGGAGAGAGAATTTAGACACTGGAGGAGCAATACGCATATAGACTCTGTCGAGATTTTTACAGTTTTTGCTCCAATTTTTTTTATTGTTGTCATGCCCATACCTAATTTAAAAATAAATTTTAATAAGTCTTTTAGTTTTTCCTAAGCATACAATTTAGTTATCATAGTAACTAAAGTTGTTTTTACATTCTTGTTTCATTGTTTTGCATAATTCAATTTTATTTTTTAATAGTATGTGCTAGTGACATATTCAGATGTGGGATCAAACACATGCAGATAGCTCATAGTGGCAGCAGTGGTGCAAGGGCAAAAATAAAGTGACATAGTAGCATGTGGCTTCATGTGCCCATGGCACCCAGCAGTATGTTTAACCTGGGAATGCAGTGTGGTCATGCAACCCAGCAAGCTGGCATGAGGAATTTCTAAATTATACTGTATATATGTTGCTCCCATTGTCTACCCAGTTACCCAGATTTTTTTATTTCAGTAAGCATTTTGAGTATTACCATGCACTAATCAACATGCTAGGTATGGAAAATTATAATGTATGGAAAGCCTGAGGTCTGGATCTGGCTCACAGACTTGTTTTGTTTGAACTGTGCAGTATTTAAAAATTTTGACTTCATAGCTTACATTTAGAAAAGGGGGTGGGGGGCCAGCCTGGTGGCTCACTTGGTAGAGTGCGGCGCTCCAGCCGAGGGTTCGGATCCCATGTAGAGACCGGTCCGCTCACTGGTTGAGTGCGGTGCGGGCGCGACACCGAGGGTTGTGATCCTGTTACCAGTCAAGAAAAAAGACAAAAAGAAAAAAAAAAAAAGGGATGGGGTGGGGGGAGTGTTCACATAAGAAATTAGACTTCCGGTTTCTCAGTCAAGAAAAAAGACAAAAAGGAAAAAAAAAAAGGGATGGGGTGGGGGGAGTGTTCACATAAGAAATTAGACTTCCGGTTTCTCTTGTCAAAACAAAACATCTAGCAACACAGGGCCACACTCCTAAATGACTTTAGTCAGAGCTGAGTAAAAGCAACCTTCTGTTGATAGAACTAGTGTTCTGCAATTTGCTACTGCCCTCCAACAGTACCCGCCGCCCCTTTAGATAATATTTCCTAATGAATTCAACCTAAAATTACAAGGCAAAACAGCACTTGTATGTGAAACAGACATCACTTATGCCATGGAGATTCATTTCCATGACAACTGACATTGTATGAATCACAAGTAACGTAAAGCTGCTTTATATACTTACTGTCCCGTCAAAAATTAAAACAAAAAGCAAGGACTTTCAGTTCAGACAAGATGGCATAGACTTGTTTCTTCTTGCTCCTCCTGCTAAGTACAACTATAAATCCTGGAAAAAACAAGAGGGAACCAAAGGAGAATTCTGAAAGGTAAAAGGAGGAAGGCAAACTAGTTAGGGACCCCAGGACTAGAGAAACAACATAGCAGCAAGGACCTTTCAATCCCCACCCCCTCTGACCCCCAACAGAAGGTGACTCAGGCCCTATTTCTGAATCCTACCGTAGCAATAGAAGGTGGCCCAGGTAGACACACTTCCCACTCAGATTCAACAGAAATCCCCACAGCAACACCAGGCAATCCTGGCATCACCTGTAAGAGGAATTGACTGGGAGCCCTGATGGCAGTAAGTGGCCAAGAGAAGCCACTTATACCTCCCTCCAGCCTGAGTCTTCTCACTCTCACCAATGGACATCAGGCATCTGAGAGGCTCCAACAAGGGAAAATCCTGCCACAAGAAATGGCCCAGCCCAGGAAGCCTCTTTGTCCCCATGGGTCTGAGACTCCCCTCTCCCACCCAGAGGCACTGGACAGCCTGAGGACACCAGTAAAGAGGATCTTGCACAACAAGCAGCCCATTTGGGAAGACCCTTTGTCCTCACAGGCATGAGATTCCTCTCCCTCACCCAGAGACACCAGGCATCCAGATGGCATTGGCAAGGCATATCCTGCCGTAAAAAGTGTGCAGTCCAGGAAGCCTCTTGATTCCTGTGGGCTGGAGACTCCCCTTTCCCACCCAGAGACACTGGATAGCCAGTTAGCACCAGTAAAGGAGATCCTACCACAATAAGAAACACAAAACGGGAAGCCTCTTTGTACCTGCAGACTGGAAATTCCCATTCCATACTTAGAGAGACAAGGTGGCCTGGCCTGGGGAAGTTCCTTCCACCCTCACAGGCAGTACCAGTGAAGATCAAAGGGAGTATGGTCCCAGTGGCACCATATAAACCAAACATACCAGAATAGCGCTGCAAAGGCTCTGAAAATGAGTTTGTCTTTGGAACTACAGTCCACTAAAGTAAACCAGGATAGGATCTATATGCTAAACCTAAACAGGGTGACTGCCTTATGAAATAAAGGGAAATAAATCTTATGAATAAAGGTTTAAGTAAGACCCAGAGTCTCTTAATATGGTAGCCAACAGGTCCAGGATAAAATTGAAAACCATCTGTCATACCAAGAACCAGGAAGAGCACAACTTGAGAGAGGACAAACAACTGATGCCAATACTGAGTGTTGCAGTTATCTGACAATAATTTTAAAGCAGCCATTATAAAAATGCTTCAACAAGCAATTAAAAATTCACTTGAAACATTTGAGAAAGTAGAAAATCTAAGTAAAGAAGGAGAAGTTATAAAAATGAACCAAATGAAAATTATAGAACTGAAAAATACAATAACAGAAATAAAACACTTGCTGGATGGTCTCAATAGTAGAACAGAGATTACACAGCATAGAATCAGTTAACTTGAGGACGGATCAATAGAATTTACCCAATCTAAACAAAGAGAAAATAGGTGGAAAAAAAAATAAACAGACCCTCAGATAGTTATGGGACAACAAAAAAGATTCAACAACATTCAGATAACTGGAGCTCTAGAAGGAGAAGATCAAGAGAATGGGGCTGAAAGTGTAGATCGTGCTAACTGCAGACAGGTAAAAAAAAAATCTTAAGAGATTTTTGAGGTTCTAGCAAAATTTGTATGACATTAACGTTTAATGGTATCTGCACAATTGTAATTTCTTCTTTTCTGAGCAACTTGATAGCTTGCATTAGGTTAGAGAGTACCAGTGGCTGAATTGTTCCAATGCTGAGGATTTTTAGGACAAGAAGGGTGAGGTATTTGACAACATAGGTAAGAGGACTTGAAGTGATGGAACATGGCTCTGGGAAGTAGGGCAGGATTCAAAGCTTAGATGTAGCTAGCAGACTTGGAGGGCGGGCAAGGGTGGAGGCATTAGAAGTGTTGATGTGCTGAAAAAGCCTGTGGGGCACAGCATGGGAGAGCTAAGAGAGCTGCCTGGTGGATGGGTCTGAGAGGAGGTACTGGGATTGAATTAGCTCTAGTTGCTGCAGAGGTGTGGACATGAGGATGAGTTGCTGAAATTGAATGGAAGTGAAGGCCACTGGCATTGAAGAGTTCCTTACAGAAACTGTGAGGACAAGGTGTTGGCTGAGTCATTCAACTGGACGAAGGTGGGAGAGGCAAAAGGTAAGCCAGGTGTCACAGAGTGACCAGGAGCTCAGTGGATGACAGTAACAAGAAGGAGACAACCTAAACCGGAAAAGGGTGCAGATACATGTATGGCGCTAGTAGAGTAAGTGGTCTGTACATGGCTGAGTGGCACAGGAAAACATGGACACTTCTTTCAGGGGCTGTGTGTGGGAGAAGGAGCAGCAGTCTTTGCCCCAAAGAGTTGGAGCAGTCAGTCCTTATGACAGACAGGTGCATGCAAGGAGGGGTTTAGAGCATTCTTGAAGAGGGAACAGCAATTTTTTCAAACTAGAAAACTGTTTTCTGAGGAGGAGGGGAGAGGCAGAAGGAAGAAAGTAGAGCATGCAGTGGAACCAAGGTTGGATGAGAAGACCAGTGCCCTAAGGCACTTTCCTGTGGGGTAGTAGCTGGGAGTGACTAGGGGCGAGGTGTGGTGCACTCCCCTGGTTTGGAGGTTCTCTGCAGACAAGCTGAAACCTTGCATGGAGTCAGAGACCTGAATGAGAGTAGCAGCTAGCTCAAAAGCAGTCTGAATCCACTCAGGGTCTAGTAGAATGTTGGCAAGTAATTCCAATGAAGGAACGAAATTGTATACTGTCTACAGTGGGAGAAGGAAGCAGTTCAGGAAGAATGTCTTCTCAGGGTGGATGAGGGAAAAAACTCCTTCTTGAAGAATGCTTTTCTCTTGGCAGAAATAGCAATGTACATGTAGTGGAGTGGTGGCCTGAAGCTTCGCCTAGTAAAACGAGAGATTGGGTGTAAACTTGGAACAAAGGAAAGTTAAATACTCATATTTCTTCTTTCAGCTGTTGAAGGCATAACTAAGAACAGTAGTTTATTTATGTTTAATAACATTTTTTAAAAAGCAACTACGATGTTGTTCATGTGATATACTGGTATTGTTCATGTGAGAAAAATGTAACGTGGAACACATACCTGAAGCTGTGCTTCCCTGCTGGAGTCTCACATATATTTGTTGCTTTGCCCCCCACAGATTTGTCACCCGACTTCCCCTGGGTGACGGAGTCTCAAAGGATTACTCAAAGCCCATCTTTTCTGAGCAGTGAAAAGCCCCGAAGTGGTTAACTTCCCTGGAACCCTCAAGTGAGAGGTGTCCCTTCCTTGGGAAATTACCCACGAATTGGGGTTCTCTTCCTGCATTTATTTTCCAGACCAGGAAGTTACAGGAAGAGAACATAGGTGGGGTTATAGTTTAACAATATAGGCTGGTAACTTTCAATGAAACAAGTCAGATGACATTCCATTAGACAATTAAGTGATCCACCAACAAAATCTTGATCTTAGCAAACATTCCTTCTCCCTCCAGCAGTTTTCCAGTATCTTTACATTTTAACCAGTAACTAGTCTGTCCTTGAGCCAGCGATCTTACTGTGCCACAAATCTTTATCTTACAATAGAGACTTTATAGCCTGAGGAAAATTTCCTTTCCTCTGCAAGGTCAATATTTGAAACTGCAGGGCTTTGGAAAACCAGGCCCTGTGAAGTACATTTGCTTTAAGAATCCTCTACATCTCCCCCCATTTTATTTATTTAAAAGAAAAAGCAAGAGCTGTATCAGGTTGTCATAGTTAAGACAAAAGCATTTAAAGCAAAGTTGGTATCATTTAGCATGGCAAGTCCTTTTAATTTACTTCAGATGAGGACTGATGATGTCATCGTCTCTCAGGGTGGCTGCAGCAGCATCAGTCCAGGTGCTGTGAATTGGGTGTAATTGTCAATTGTTGAAATTCCAGAAAGGGATTCTGCTCCATATAATAGTTGATAATGGTTTCTCACATGAAACCAGGAAAGTAACCTTGTCTTTTATCTGCCTTTCTGTTGTCCAGAGAGTTTGTTAATGTTAAACTGTCCAGGACAACACCTTTGACTCTGACTCCCTCATTGCTTCTGATTTTTATAATGATAATAAGGGGAGAGATGTAGTGGGTTAGAAATCTTGATTCTCATTTGATTTTAGAATAGGGTTTTTAGGTAAATGCATGTATGGGGCAAAAGCCCTTAGACAGGGGGCCACAGCCCACAGATAGTGTGGCAAAAGCCCATCTAATCAACTCTTAATCACTGTTTAGGTATGGGATTGTATACTTTAATGTTTTTAGAGATAACAAATGGTTGTCATACCAATCCTCTTAAGAGATTTTAAGAATTGCTGAAGGAAAAGTTGTGGAAAAAATGTTTGCTAGGGGCAAGCTTTCTGTTGGGGGAAACTTTAGAGAAAATTGTATTTAGATTTTATCATAAGAATGTAACTTTGCTTAAGGAGAAGTCTTACTTTAGATAATGAGCCAGTTTGACCAACTTAGCTTTTTACTAATTGTACCTTGGAATGTCACTTTATTTTACTGATGTTACTAGTTTCCATTGTTAAGCTATACTTAGCCATAGACAACTTTTGTAACATTGCCTATGTCCTTATGTCCTTCTTTGATGATTGAATCAACTGATTTTCCTTGTGAAACTTCTTCCTTGTCAATAAAAAGAAAGGCTGATTTTGGATCGGGGATGCTCCCCTGATGGATGGCAGTCCCTCCAGGCCTCATTGATGGTACTTTGAGTGAATTCTTTCTTTCTCTTTTCTCCGCCCCGGTTACACAGAGGAAAGTGTAACGTATATTCATAAGACATAAGTCATGGTTCACTTTCATTTAATTCATCCATGTATTACATAGGTTAGACACAAACACACACACACACGCCCGCACATATACACACTAGATACTTATTGCAATTTAAGTATAGATTACTTCATCACAAAGCATCACTGAGAGGCACTTCATTTTGACCTTGTTTAGAAAAATTGCTAGACCCAGCCAGTTGATCAAATAATAACCTGCTGACTTCTAACTCTTATCCAGTTCTACAGATAAACTACGTTGACTGTATCTTTGGTGTTTTCAGGTGGTTTACATCCTGGAGAAGAAGCATTCTCGAGCAGCAACTGGCTTTCTCAAACTCTTGGCTGATAAGAACAGTGAACTGTTTAGGAAATATGCCCTGTTTTCTCCCTCAGACCACCGGGTGCCTAGAATTTATGTGCCTCTCAAGGACTGTCCCCAGGACTTTGTGACACGGCCTAAAGATTATGCCAACATACTATTCATCTGCCGCATCGTGGACTGGAAGGAGGACAGCAATTTTGCTCTGGGGTAGGTGATCTCTATCTAGCAAGATAAACCACAGGTCACAGGCAGAAGTCAGTTTAGGTGGCTGTTAGGTAAAGTTTTTGTGTATTTTAATTATTTTTTCTTCATTAAAGCATGGTACATTGTGTATTTTGGTCCTGACTCTTCAGAAATTGCCTTTAGCTGCCAACTTAACTGGTCTCCTAGAGTTTCCATGAGTTACCAGGCAGTCACCTTTTTTTGTTTTTTGGCATAAAATATAAGCACATTCTAAGGCTTTGCTTATTCCCTGTTATGTCATGAATCCCATTTATACTGGTATACTGCAGAGAATTATTGCATCCAACAACAGTCTTCTCCTTTCAGACACTAGTGGTAAAATATGCTCAGTCCAGGCATATTCAGGGGACCCCAGGCTCCTTTTCTCTAAAATGTGAATACAAAGGCTCGTTTGAATGCTTTTCTGGTATGGATCTTCAGAGGTTTCACCTATGGTGTTAAAAACTACATTACCCTACCGTAAGCAGGAAAAGGGTACTATGTTTTTGTTGTAGCTGTCAGAAATCAATCTAACTTAAATATAGATGATGTAGTCCCGGAGTGTCATTTTTTTTTTTTTAAAGATGACCGGTAAGGGGATCTCAACCCTTGGCTTGGTGTTGTCAGCACCACGCTCAGCCAGTGAGCAAACCGGCCATCCCTATATAGGATCCGAACCCGTGGCCTTGGTGTTATCAGCACCGCAGTCTACCAAGTGAGCCACGGGCCAGCCTCAGAGTGTCATTTTGATATGAAGAAACTGCTGGACCCAGCTGTTTGGTCAAATGCTGTGCCTATTTTCTTCTTAGAACTGGTATTCATTTAGAAAGAAAAGCAATATTAAGTTTTAGCTATATCTTTAGGCCTTTCTTATAGATGGTGTCTGGCTTATGCTTCACAGGAAATGAAAATAAAGATATATAATCTAGAAAAGAGTGTGTTCTGACCGTTACTTTTAGTCCAGTTTAGTGACTTACTTGTTGGTCATCTAACTTACACAGGATGGACCCTCCTGGGAATGGTCCGCGCTTTTGAGAGCCAACACCGAATGGATATCCATAATGTGCTGCTTTTATCAGGTTTACTCTATACTTAGCTTCTTACCCCTAGCAAAGTAAGCCCAGTCACATCTGTGTGTCATGCTAATGCAACTTAGGAAACACTACCCTGTACCACTTTTTCAGTTATATGAAGATCAGTGTGATGTATATGATCTCAGAATTGCTTAGGCACAGTTGCACTTTCTTTTTTGCCCTCAAGTGGTATGATTGCAATGTCATCATTTTTAAGCCTAATTCATTATCCAAAAGTGAAGTCAACCCCCTGAGCTCTAAATTGACCTCCTCAGAGGCTTGCCAGTTTCTCACCATCAAATCAAAAGGCTGATAATGGCTGTGCCACCTGGCCCCTGTTGATTGTGCTGCCACACTCTGTTAGGCAGCGAAAAGGGAAGACTCTCACATGAAACCAGGAAAGTAGCCTTGTCTTTTATCTGCCTTTCTGTTGTATCCTATTGTGCATACTTGATGGGACTACTTCCTTAGTTTTCAAGTTGTAAGGGTGTAGTCAGGAAATCTTCATGGTATGAGTTTCTCTTAGTATTTGAGTGTCTTTCTAGGTCTAGGTTCCTTTTTTATAGCTGAGCCATTAGTTCATCAGGAACAAGTACAACCACCACCAAAAAGGGAGTTGGGCTTTTGAAAAAGCAAGCACATTTACTGGGTCTAAAGAAAAGATGTTTAAAAATGATAATTATATGCAAGTATTAATCATGTAATTTTTCAAAATAAAAAAATTTGAAAGTAACTATATTTAGATGGAAAACTGTGTTTCTTCTCTACCTTGTTAATATAAAGACATTAAAAATAGTCTTTTATGGAAATATGTCTTTTAAAACCTTTGTAGAAAAGAGAAAATTTATTTTAAGAAATACGATGTGACTGGTTTTTGTCATGAAGTTCTCAGAGGGCGTCTGTTGCATGAGGGCTGATGGCTGCAGCTGTTGAGCATGTTGGTGGTCGCCTTGCCAATTTGTTCTGGCTGTCAGTTACTGATCTTTAGGAACTGAGGTCACTGTTTCCCAGTCAGAACGTGCTGTGCTATGTATGACTGCCTAGGTTTCCTCCCTCATCTTTGTCAGACTTTGACCAGGAGAGTGAAGATAGTACCTGCTGTGGGTGTGAGTGTGTATGGTTAGATTCCACATAAACTATGCCTGAAAGCCGACTTTAACTAAGGTGGCTTCCTTCTAAATTTCTTCCCTGCCCCTATACCTCTACCCTTAAAAGTATTGAACTTCCTCTGCCTATGTAAATGCTACTAATTATTTAAGCCCAAAGCCATTTACTTCTTCTGTGGTTAAACTCAGGTCACCAGACAGGTTTTGATCAACTATGTGTAAAGTACTATGCTACCTTATTTGAGAAATACAAAGGTAAACAAGCTGTGGTTTCTCTATTCAAGGAGATTGTAATATAATGCAGAAGTACTTGTACGTAAATGCCATTGGGATAATTTGATTTTAAGAAATGGAATCCCACTTGAGCTAATTTAAATAAAAGTAAAGATTAATATAAGAAACTGGTGGTTCTCCTAAAAACCAGAGCAGGAAATGGAGGTGGTCTCATGAGAAACTCAGAACTAACAAGCTGTTATTAGTCCGTTTTGTGTTGCTATAAGAGAAATATCTGAAACTGGGTAATTTATAAGAAAATGAAGTTTATTGCTTACAGTTTCTGAGGCTGGGAAGTCCAAAGTCCATCTGATGGTGGCAACAGTGACCCAGGGGTCACACACTGCAAGATGGTGGAAGCAGAGAGAATACAGAGAGAAAGACAGACTCTCCTCTTCTTTTAAAACCCTCAGAACCATGCCCCTGACCACCATTTTTAATCCATTCACTACTGCATGATCCTACAATCCAATCATCTTTTTAAGGCTCCACCTTTTAATTACCATAATAGGATTTCCCACCATCTTAACAGTCAAAGTGGGGGCTAAGTTTCTAATACATAAAACTTGGGGGACACAATTCAAGTTTCAGGAAGTTTTGGAGGGACATAATTCAATCCACTACACAAAGGCAACAAAGGAGTTGCAGCTTCTCTCTCAACCATCCTGACCAACCCAGCCACTACACGGTATCTTTTCTCTGTCTTTTTCTGTACATGAGCTGTGTTATTCTGCTTCTCTCTACACAGTAGCCATCTACCTGCTCAATAGTATACACGGCCCCAAAATGACACTGCCAGTCCTCTGCAGGTCACATACTGAAGTTTGATCACCATACAGAATTTCTAAGGAAGAAAATCTTATTGGTCTAGCTTGAGACAGGTATTTGCCCTTGTCGGTAGTTTTAACTAGTGGTAGGGGTCCAGGGTCCCATGACCCAGCACTCCATTAGCAGGACGTAGGACTTAACGCTCTGGGAAGGAGCATGGATAAAAGCAGATGTGAATGGCCTGTCTCTTTGAGCTCTAACTGTAGTACAAAGCAGAATGTTGTAAGTTCTTCCATAGGAATGAAATAGCTTTCAGGAAGTTTAGAGGAGGTCGGTGAAGGGGGAAAGCCAAGATCATTTCTTGGAGAACAGAAGCCTCTTTGCTAAAAGATCACTCTGACTGAAAGTGTAGAGTGGATGGGAGGGGACATGACTGGCAGCAATAGGCTATTGCAGTAAGACAGATGAGATGGGGAGAAACTGAGATAAAGGGTTGAAAGGGAGGAAACAAAAGGAGTGACAAGATTGGAGGGAGATTAAGAAGGTAAATTCTCCCAGATGTGATGACTGAGTAGAAATGGGGCATGGCGGAGATGGATGGAATCTTGGGTGAACTTTCAGGCCTCTGACTTGGGTGAGTGGGTAGGTGCTGATAGCATTTAACCACGGTTCACTGAGAACAGCCCCAGCTCCTGCCATACCCTACGCTAATGCCTCAGAGCTTGTCCTTTCCTGAGCGTAGTGTGTTTGTTCATAGTTCCAAACTTTTGCATATTACGCTTTCTTTCCCAGCAGTGACTTTCTCCTTTCTCCAGTGTTTGCTTGGTGAAATAACTCAACTTTTAAAATCAACTTAGTTGTCCACTCAAAAAATGCTTCCTGACTCACAGGCCTCTCTTCTGGTGCTCCCATAGCTTCTAATAATACCTTTACTGTAGTTCTCATCTGTCTACATTGTAATTGCTTATTTAGGTATTTTACTGGGCCATAAACTCCTTTATGCAAGGATACTCAATAAATGTTTGCTGGCTGGTCAGATGAGTAGATGAAAATGAATCAGTGATCCCAAGGTCCTGAGCCAGGTTGACTAGGAAGATGTTGTACCATAAATCAAGCTAGAAAACACAGGAGGAGTAGTTTGGACCAGAAAAAAATGAGAACCAAGGTTGTATGACTTCAAAATCAACACTTGATTACAGTATATAAAAAGTATGTAAACTCAGGTGGAGAATGCCAAATTTAGAAAGTACAGATATTTAACAATAAGATTGAATAGAATGCACACAGTAATTGAATATCTGATGTTATTAGCTTTGGAAGGGTCCTTAAGGAGGCTGTCAATCTTGGCCTCCTCTTCACTGTAAGTATCGCTTGTCTCCCACCCCCAATTGTGTTTTGGTGCCTCCATTTAAGGGGAGGTCAAAAAATATTACAATATTAGAGACCTCTAGTAGCTAGAAAGTTATTTTCCATCTTGTTCTTAGAATTATCAAGAGAGATCTCAGTTAAACCTTGTTTACCTCTCTAAACATCACACCTACCACATGTTCATGGATATTATTCTTGTATTGCTGTCAAAACCCAAAGATAGTCTCTTTTTAGTCAGCCCTTGCTGGCTTTTAGGGATCACTGCTTTTTGTTATATATCACAACATTTTTAGCACTTTTAATATTTAGTACCAGACTTTTAATATTTAGTACTTAATATTTAATATTTAAGAAAAAGCTACATTGGTTTCCTTGCTGCAATGATTTGCAATTATAT